ACGTAAAAATCTCTATGTTCTTTATTTTATGCACTCTTAATTCCGCAAACAGTCTTAGTAAGTACATCTAGAAGAACCAAATTCTTCTAGTGCGAAAATTAGGTACCACACAAATCATCCCCCTCCCCCCCTCTTGTGTGGTATTGGCGTCTAAGAACATCATGGTGGGATAATTCTGAGTTGCATAAATTGTTAACTAGAGTAGTTTGAGAGAATTCTTCTAGTAAATTATCGTAATTAATCGAGAGATAATTGCGGTAGCCTAGAACTCATACTCCTTATAGAGTGTTCCGGCGAGATTATAGTTAACGTGTTAGGAATTAACCCGACAATTGGGAAAATCAATAGCCCTAGACCCTTTTACCATTGAATTCAACTTTATTCTTGATTATTGCTAGTTTTATTGTCATTTTTTCCTTAGTTAACTAAATTATACTCATTATCCATTAAAAATCTTGATCCGGAAATTATCTGAGCTTATCATTAGCAATGTTAAAAGTTGTAGTTAATAGGTTAGTTCCTTATGGGATTCGACTCCGGACTTGAACCAGATTATCTTTGCACCGACTGCTTAGTCCTTTTTACAAGGCATAGTTGGGTGTGATTAGCCATTTATGTATTTCGTCTATTTTAAATAAAAAGGTGACATATAAAAAGAGAATCGGAAGCGGACTTCAAGAATTATAAAAGCAAATTTTACCTCCTATACCACAAGTTGATACCTTATTTATTATAAATAAATACCTTTTAAAAAATTATCTCCTATAGCTACCTTTTAATTTTTATAGAAAAATATCTATTTATGGCCACTTTCTACCTTTAAGCCATTAAATACGCTGTGTATTATTTTTCTCTCTCCCTCTCTCTTCCCTCTCTCCTCCTTTCTCTTTCCTCTTTCTTCTCTTTTGCCCCCATTTTTTCCTCCCCTTTTAGAAACCCTACCGGGGGTTGTGTTCCGCAAACGACAGATCCGGCCGGCGACCACTTCCCCCTTCCTTGTGGTGTCACCCCTAACCCCCTCCTCCGGCTGGCGATTTCTTTCACACAGTTGTGTTACACATTCTAAATTTTTCTTAGATTTTGCATTGAATGTTCATGTTTGCCTTATGAGATCTGAAGAAGTTCTGTCTCTAGTTTCCGTTTGATCCTTTAAATTGGTGCTTCTTCAACAACTGTCTTCATTTAACCGGCGGCGGCGGCCCACATGGCGGCGACCTGGATATCGATGGATTGGGGACGAAGTTTGGGGCTGAGGAACTTGAAGAGTCTGTTACCTTTTTTTTTCATTGTATTTCAATGTATCTTGCTGTATTCCATGTATTTCATTGTATTCACTATCTTTTTTTCATTTTGTTTCAGTGTATCTCGCATTATTCCATGTATTTCATTGTATTCACTGTCTCGCTGTATTCCATGAATGTATTCATATATTTTTTTAATTAATATAATTTATGTATTCAGATGCATATATGTATTCAAATGTATTTGCAGTATGTCTTCATATATTTTTGCACTATAGATGACCTGCTATACTTCTTGTATTCAATGTATTTTTATGTATTTAACCGTATTCAATGTAATTATATAATTTTAATATATATATATATATATATATATATATATATATATATATATATATATATATTTGTAAAGATACAACTAAAAAATATTTTAGTAAAGATACCACTAAAAAAGAAAGGATTGATCAAATCTCTGAAGATTGCTCTATTTTTGCGTGTTTTTCGGTTGAGAATATTTTTTATAACTGGAAATACAAATTTTGTGTGTTATAATTGGGTTTGTTGAGTTATATTAGGAGTCTATCGCGTTAATTGATTCACTTACCTTTTTAAACAGCTAAAGATCTTTTTTTTTCGCAAATTCCGTTACTGTATTCACGAATACAGCTCGCGAATACAGTCGAATACATTCTCTGATTAGATTGATTCCTTTGTTTTCCGCCGAGTTTTGCTACTGTATTCTGTAACAACTGATAACATAGCTATAGGAAGTAATTTAGTAAATGGTAGGTATAGCAAGTTGTTTACCTCGAAATGCGAGTAACAATTAAACTTGATTTATGGTTTTAAATATATGTGATTTAGTTCAATACTAATTAATAACCAAGAAATCTAACGTATAAATGAGGAAATAAGTAAAATCAAACCAGTGTGCGAGCCATTCTCGACCTCAAGCTAAGGTGGCATTGAGGTAGGTCAAGAACAGTAAAACAAGAACAATAAAGTTAAAGGATAATTCTGATGAACAATGAGCAAGAAAGTAAGAGAGTGTACTATTTTGCCAATGATTGATGATGGTTACAAATGATTGGGGTCCCCTTTATATAATAGGGAACCCTAAATAAGGTACATTTCTATTGACAGTAAAGAATCTTATTAGGACAGCTGTCTAACCGCCTAGTACGAATTAATACTAGCTCATACAAATCTATTCCGGATTTTATGCCATGATCTTGTGGACGTGGCAGGAATCTCGCTATTTCTGTTACAAACCCATAACGGCATTATCTCGGGGTTGGTCATACTGGGCTCCGACGTTCCATGAACACTTAGATCTTCGAGTCTCATGTTCTAACCTCGGGCTCGAACTCGGTCCATAGTGAGTCTATTCCTCGACGCGAGCCTTCCGTTCCTCGATGTGAGCCTTCGAGCCCACAAAATCGGGGCACATGATTTTACTGTATACACAAGCTAATAATCACTAAAACATAGTGCTTTATGAAAATTTCTCTTTATAAAGTCATATAGAATTTGGAAAGTTAAGCTTAGCAATATAAAAAAGAAAAAAGAATGAGAAGATCAAATATGAAAAATTTTAATGTTGACTTTGAAAGGTTTTTGAGAACTACACGGTAATTAATTATTTCCAATAAAAAACCTATAAAGTCCCTAGAGGTTATAATTCATGAACCTAAAACTCTTTTATAAAAATCTTAAAAATTAGGTAAGTACATGTATAGGAACTTTAAACAATGAGCCTCTGGAAGCTGAAACTTTGTTAAAGCATGAACCATAACCGAGGGAAGTTTTACTGTCGATTAATTTCATCAGATGCTTTTAGTATTTAATTGGTATTCAACTTGAAAATAAAAACAAAATATTCCAATAAAAAATAAAACAGTTAAAAAAGCACTACTTCCTCTCTCCTTTTATCACATGGCTTTCCTAAACTTAACCAAAAATCAAAAACTCATGCACAAAAATGCCAAAAATCACCCATATGATCCCCTTGAAGAATCTGACAAATTAAAGACTGGACACCTCCTTCTCATTCCAACAATAGAAAGAAACGGATAACTGAAAAGTCAGCAAAGAAGGGTGCTAGTGTGGATGCAAAGAGCTTTCAGAGGTTATGGAGCGAGGAAGACGAAATAGTTATCCTCGAAGGAATGATTGATTCTGAATCCAAAAGGAATGCCAGCCCCACAACAAATTACGATGCTTTTTATACTTCTATCAAGGACAAATTGCAAGCCGAAGTGAACATAAATCAACTGAATCACAAAGATTAGGAGGATTAAAAGAAAATATATGAATAATATTGGCAAAAGGAGCTTTGCGAAGCCTCACGAGGAGAAGTTGTTCAAAGTCTCACAAACAATTTGGGGAGATAACATAGTTGACAAAGAAAAGAGAGCAGCCAAGGTTGATGACGATCCGCCGAAAGCTGGTAAAATATATAATTGTTGCAAAAGAAAAAAGAGTTTGTGTGGTGGTAGTTCAGGTTCGAGTTTGGTTTAACACGGAGGGAGTGCGGCTGATTTAGAAGATTGGTTTAGAAGGAACCCGGGGTTGATTAGCAAAGAACGAGGACATGAAATATTGAAGAAGTCACATCCATGAAGATTTCTTGGGCTGTACACCATTTGAATGAGATAACACTGATGGAGGAACAAGTGAACTTGATGACTGATGCTCTGAAAGCTTCTCAGGAATGATGGCTGGATTTTTCTACTACATGTTTTGGTTTTGCAAATTTTGTTTTCTTTTGTATTTTTTCTGCATTTGCGTTTATTTTGTTGTTCTTGTGCTGCACTATCTAGTTCAAAGAGCACTGGTTTTCATTGATGTCTGATGAGGTGATTATAGGCATAAATGCCTTAAAACACCATTCTGCTATATGTCTACTTCTATTTTCCCCTGTTTGCTTTTGTGTTGTGAAAAAATGACGTACTCTAGTACTAAATTTTAGCTTTTTTGGCTTGCTTAGTCGATAGTGATCAAAACTGTTTCAAGATGATTATCTATTCCAAATAGGAGTTGTTGGTTTTTGTCTAGTTGTGCCACAAGTTTAGCGGATTGGCTGTCTCAGTTGCTTGCGAAAAATTGGTTCATTTACTGAAATTGCAGAGAGAAATGTTCCTTAAAAAAAACTTCCCTGCTCTACTCATGTCATGTCTGATCACGGTTAATGTGCTTATTAGGAATAACGTGGGATGAAATGTCCCAGGGTTAGGGCTTGTATTGGCGAGTTGATTGAGAAGTTTGGCGATATATCTCGCTTATCATGCAATTGGTATTTAGAAATTGTGATTACAACTTATTTTTCGGCTTCTTCAGTGAGAAGAATTCACTCTGTCTAACATTTGCTGCGATTTAGTGATGATTCACTTTTCATGCAGGAAATATCATTTCATTATTGTTGTCTATAAATTCCTTCCGACTCAATATTCAACTAGAGGTTTGTTTTCTACATAGCTGATGACCATATATATATACATCCTCAAAAAAGCAGCTGATATCTGGTGTTATAACTTTGTTCCGTGACCATGCATTAACTGTGTTAATGCATTTGTATTTGTATCAGAAGAAATATTTAGTCAACACCTGCTACAACTATCTTTTGAAAAAGCTGAATTACAGCCTGATATATGGTATAACAATATTCTTTTTTGAACCAAAAGCTCAGACTTGATAAAACAAGTAGGTTCAAAAGAGCATGTACATTTAGCTATCAATAATGTTCTGTACGTTCTTTTCCAAACATCTAAAGCTACATCAAAAACACCAAACAAAACTTATTCAAGAAAATATTTGAAGACGAGATCGAACTCAGAAAGAGGAGTTGCTGTATGTAAAGGAGTTAATTTGGCTTCGTCATATCTTCATTATCATCCTCCTAGATCATAGTCATCATAAGAGCCTTCACTCTCCGTTCCCTCGTCACCAGCTTTGTCTGCAGCCTCAAGATCCTCTTCATTAGCCTCCTCATAGTCATCTTCACTGTCCTTTACTACCTCATTGCCACTTCCGCCTGCAGCCTCAAGATCCTCTTCACCGGCCTCCTCACCATCATTTTCACTGTCCTTCACTACCTCTTCGTCTGCAGCCTCAACATCTTTTTTATCAGCTTCATCGGCCTCCTCATCGCCATCATTTTCACTGTCCTTTACGACCTCATTACTGCTTTCATCTGCCTCATGAAGATCTTTTTCTTCATCAGCTTCATTGAAATAATTTAGAGGGTTCGGCCATAGCTCATCCTTGATCATCGCAGCAACTTCATCATACTTCTGATCGACTTCACCACTGAACCACAAAAAGAAGCTTTCCTCAGCAAGGGGAGCAACTCCAATGCCTTCTGTCCATTGTACTGCGGAAGCAGTAACTTTTGTAGGTCGTCCATCTTCCAGGAAAGTATAAGTCTTCGACAGCATTGTATTTTCAAAAAAGGGATTTGGACTGAAGTAGAAGGTGATGGTATAACCCGATTTAAAATCTTCAGCGTCTTCCACTTCGATAGAACTTAGATACTTAAAAATTTCATGGTCCTCTTCAGTACTAACAAGATTACCGAGAATAGGGTGTCTTAAAAATGCCGTCAACCAGAAGTTAGGAATAGTTTTAATAATATCATTTCGCTTCTCATAGACTGGCTTGCGGATCTGACTGAACTTTTGAGCTATTTTCAACACTTCATCCCTTGCTTCTTCATTAATCTTCTCGAGCTTGTCTTGTATGTCTTGCAATTTTTCAATGCACAGAACCAACTGCTTTCCATCAAAGTTGTTGTTTTCCTCATCTTCTGCTTTCTCTGCAATTTTCTGCTTCTTATTTCCTTTTTCTTCCCCCATCTGTTCCACAAAGCAAACCAGTAAGTCTGATAACTTTGTATTATTAAGACGTACAAAACTTGAAGATTACCTTAATCAAATTGAAATGCTCATCGCTAATAAGTCGTGCATGCTCCATCTTCACATCCCACATCTTCTTCAATACTTCATATTCTTCCTCTTTAGAAACATACTCCTAAAAAACAAGTTCAATTAGTGCATATAAAGATAATTGAAGTCATCCAACAGAGGAAAAAGATCAAAGTGTTGTTATAACCAATCAGCACAATCATACAAAAGAACAACTGTTCACTTTCAAAGTTTCCATGTTGTAATATTTCACATACTGATAAACACATTATTATAACGCGACTTATAGAAAGGACTATTCGATCGTACCTTCTTCAAAGCCTTGAGAACAAGCAATATGTAATCTTTGCGGATATGCAAGCTCTTCAAGAGTAGTTCAAATTGCAGAAGAGCCACCTCTTTATTAACCCCTAGCAATTGCACCATAGTTTTGAGCGCGAAATTCACTTCTTCTGCCATGTTCGTCATGACAGATTCCCAATCCAACACATTATAGTTAATGTAATCTAGTGATGTTGTTAACACATATTGATGCTCCCCGCAAACTCCCAACTCATCTTTCTCTTTGTTATTCCCACTGCACTCCACTAATTCTTCAAAAACCCTTACTTTCTTGTTTTTGTTTTGCTTCTTTTTATTTTTCTCAAGGCGTTTCTTAGTAGCCAGTTCCGGATCTCTTCCTTTCGACTTATACCCTTGTGTTGATTCTTCATTATTAGGGGTCGACTGGCTTTCTCCATATGCCTCCATTTTTGTGTTAGAGAAAGATATATTCGACGAAACAAATTAAAGGAGAAAATCAGCCGAATATATTCTCACCTGTACGGATGGGAAGAAAACGAATGCAATTGTTTAATATATGATCTTTGCACATGACAAGAGCTCACTCCTGTCCTTCTTTCTTTTGTTATTGACGTGTGTTTGTCATATTCCCTCTTACGGTTCGACTCAAGTTGGTCATTTATTTATACATGATTAACAAAAGAATGCTAATCGAAAAGAAATAAACTCATGAACAAAGAAAGCCCCCTACTATATTCGAGTAGTACACTTGGTACTCAATGTGTTGGTCCAACATGTTTTAAATTTCCCAAGATGAAGTATTAGAAATCTAATGGAATCGTCTGTATATTACAGGCGAGGCTAGCATCTCCTCGGCACAAAACATGTTTGACTAAGACTAAATGCACACAATCACCACCACCTTCTCTGCTATCGGCGTTGATCATAACAACCTCAAACTGGATACATCATATCTCCTTTCTATAACAAGAAATAACTTCTTACAAACCAATACAAGCAATTTAAACACAAAAACACTTCATAAACTTAAGAAATAAATAGACAAAGCACCACTAAAGCAACAATGGAATTCTTGTCAAGGGATTTGCATGTGACTATCTAGAGGACTTGCCATAGAGTATTGAGAAACAAATAATTAATAAACATGAAAAGTGCAATAACGTAAGAAAACATATTCAGCATTATAGTATAAGCTACCGGCAAACATTTTTTAAACGTATTAACAAAGTAATTTCAGACATTCTTTTACAAGATAAAACCCTAAGAAATGGAAAGAAGAATGATCCACAAACAACAATGCTTCAATTACCTGTCCTTTGAAGTGTCCTCAGATTATAGATAGATGACGTCCTATTATTGCACACCAATTTAGTAATAAGCTTCTGATTTTTGTCAATCTCTGAACTTGGTTTTGATTTTCACTCCTCCGCTTTCTATTATAAAACATCACATGAACTTCGTAACCAGAAAATGAAAGAAAACTTTTGGGGTTCTATAATAGAGTTCAAGAAATGGTGGCAAAAGACTTGTTTTCTCTAGTTATATTAATACGGGTACATGAACCGTTATTTATTCAAAGAGAAGATACGCCATGTCATTTTCCTTCTAATTTTTCCTTTTGTTTCCTTTTCATTTTGCTTTGTTTGTCTGATCAAATACTTACTTGATCAATATGAAATTGGGTATTATTGAGATTTTCAAATAAAATTCACACTAGACAATTTGTCACTTAAATATTTTTTTAATATTTAGACATTTTGTTGAGTTTAGTTACTTATCAACCTTCATCATTTTTAGGAATTTGAATGATTTCTTCTATTTTTATTTGACAGCTTAAATAAAATTAATAATAAAAATATATATTAAAAATGTTATAATTACTGATAAGAATATATGCGCGTACCAAAAATTAGGTCTTTTAAAAAAGGAAGACTCTTGCTCTTCCATTTCTTCCTTCTACATGGCGAGTCCTTCCGTTATAGTCTTATTTTCCTACTTCTCTCCTTTTCTTTTTGTTCTCATTGCGTGTGCAATATTAGTACCTTGTAGCTTCCGAGTTTGTTTGTTTTTATTATTACAACAAAGCACAGATTGTAATCTTAGATCATTAATTTTCTTGGATAATTTAGTTATTTAATAATTTCTCTCGTTCTTTCCCTTTGTATAAGTTTTTTTCCAATTATGGGATAGTTTGTGATTTTAGATCTTTAATCTTCCTTAGAAAATCATCATATCATCATCTATCATCTATCATCTACTATATTATAAGTGTGAACATTAAAGTTGTAAAGTTGATTTACCATAATATCCTTTGATAGTTATTATACCATTTGCCCTTGACCCAGAAAAAAAAAACTTTACTCTTCAGTTTTTAGCATCAAAGACGGTGGTTAGCTGTGTTATAAGTAAGAATTTAAATAACTTTTGAATCATGGGTATTAACTTTATTGTAGCCGTTCCAGCTTCTATGTAGAAGTTTTATGACTTGTATGTTACTCTTTTTATGTTACTCTTTTTATGTGCTCTTCTTTTAGCTTTCTTATGTGCTACTCCCCGGGTCTAAGATGTGGCTGGAGCAAGGGGAATCAACCCTGCCTGAGCTAGAGTGTTGTACATGCTCATGAACTATGCAAGGGTCTCCTGAAGAGCTGGAGTAGTAGTAGTAGTAGGCGTATCGGGTGCCTGTGCTCCGACTGGAGCTACTGGTGGCTCCTCTGTAGCAGCTCGCTCGGGTGCTTTGGATGCACCACGTGTGCGTCCTCGGCCTCTACCCCGGCCTCGGCCTCGGGCGGCTCTAGTAGGGGTCGCGGGTGCTTGGTCATCTCCGGTTGCACGTGTCCTCACCATCTGTGAGAGAATAGAAGACAGAAGTTTAGAATTTCGAAGTCAATAATCTCGCACGAAAGGAATCAAATGAAGTGGAATTTTTCCTAACAGTTCCATAGCCTCCCGAAGATAAGTACAGATGTCTCCGTACCGGTTGGCGAGACTTTAATAAACCGGCTTGTGACTCACGACTCCTATGAACCTAAAGCTCTGATACCAACTTGTCAGGACACAAGTTCTCCCTCCGTGAACCGTCGTGACGGCACCTAGTCTCTACAACTAGGTAAGCCTAATATTTGCGAAAAAATGAAACGAAATCGTGAAATCTAAAAATCAACAGGTAAATTTTAAATAGGAACTAAGATGCCGCTCGGTATATACAATAATCACTCTCGAATTTTACATAAGCTCTCCCAAAACCTACGTCACAAGTTACAGAAAGGAATAGTACTTCTATTCTCTAGAGTCTAACAAAAGAAGAAAAATACAACAAGTGTTTGACATGGGAAGAATAGATAGAGACTCCGAGGTCTGCGAATGCAGAAGATATATCTTGAAGTCTTTATAGCTGCCTCGCCTCACTGATAATGCGGCTGAATAGCGGTATCTGGATCTAAACAGATGCTGCAAACTCCAGTGATTTGTGTAAATCTCACAAGAGACACCGTACAAATAGTGCCTCCAAATCTTCAAGGCATGAACAATAGCTGCTAGCTCAAGGTCGTGGACAGGATAGTTCTTTTCATGCACCTTTAGTTGTCTGGACGTGTAGGCAATCACCCTACGGTCCTGCATCAACATCGCGCCGAGGCCAACTCACGACGCATCACAATAAACTATATAAGACCCCAAACCCGAAGGCAAACCAATACTGGGGATGTAGTCAAAGCGGTCTTGAGCTTTTGGAAGCTCTCCTCACACTCTTTCGTCCACCTGAACGGGGCACCCTTCTGGGTCAACCTGGTCATAGGTGCTGCAATAGATGAAAATCCCTCAACAAATCGATGGTAATACCCCGCAAAACCAAGGAAGCTCCGGATCTTTGTAGCTGAGGACGGTATGGGCCAACTCTGCACCGCTTCCACCTTATTCGGATCCACCTTGATCCCTTCGTTCGACACCACGTGACCCAAAAATGCCACAGAATCTAACCAGAACTCAACATTTTGAGAACTTTGCATATAACTTCTTTTCTCTCAAAGTCTGAAGTACTGTCCTCAGGTGCTGCTCATGATCCTCCCAACTCCGGGAATATACCAGCATGTAGATGGTGCCTCGTAAACATCTTTCACAAGGTTCGAGACTAGGGTCGAGGTTCACCCCCGAGGGCTATCGACGCTCGACCTCGGGGCAATGCAGACCAACAACTATGATGGAAAAGTGGGGAGTTCCCAAGGCACATAACTAGAGCTGACAAAGTCTAGTGATCTAAAATTAGACCCGAATCATGAATTCAACTAGCTGTCCCATCTCCATATCTTTGGAATAAATGCGTTTGTACTATGTGGGGATTCTGCTTCCTATATAAAGGGGATCCATGTCATTTTGTAAGGATCTGTTGCTCCATACTAAATACACAAGAACATTCCCTCTACTCTCTAACACATTCTCTTGATTTCATTATATCATTTATTGCTTACATTTATTGTTCATCATTTATTGCTTATTATTGGCCATAAGGAGCCATCATTGATTTTATTCTAACTGTTAGTCGCCCATCGATTACCCCCGATAGCTCCAATCTGAGCTTCAGAATCGACCCCGAGGCCCTCGAATAAGCAAGCTCGAGGCCCCGACTATTA